AATATGGGTAGAATACTTTGTTGGTGAGGAGTGCATAGAGCAAGGATGAGAGAGAAAGATGTGCATCCTTAAAGGAAGCTCTCCCTCCTCCCATCACCGCAGGAAACATCCATCCTGCATCTGAATGGCCCTTGAGTTCAGGAGATAATGATGGAAACTTGTCTTCTGTGGGGAGCTCTTGCTAAACCCATTTCCTTCCTGACTTCATAAACCACTTGTTGCATTTGCTCCGTTCGTGCCAGTTAAGAAGCCTCAGTGAAAAGAACACAGCATCTATTTAAAAAAACAAAACAAAATAAAAGGTAAGAAATATGGTTGAATTCTCTTTTTAGCTTGCACCTTTCTTTTCCTTTTTTTTGCACCTTTTCTTTTCTTCTTTTACCTCGCTTATTTTTCATGTTAAACTACTGAAGGTAATCAGCAGCAGATCCATCTTTAAACAGCTGAAACCTGATTTCATGCTAGGGTTTCTTCTTGAATAAACACACCCACAAAAACAAACCACCTTTTTCCTACTGTAAATACTGTTCCTCTTAATGGACCACCATGCATAAAAAGCAAGATGGCCTAGAGAGCCAGTGGAATGTACTGACCAAAGCAGCCACTGGGTAAAATTCCCAGCCAGCAGGCCATCTTCATGCATCCACAAGAGTCAAGTTGGGGACAAGGCTAGTTGCAGTGTAAACAAGGATGATGGAGTTCTGAGTTGAAACCCCATTCACCCATGAAGTCATCCAGTCCTTTCTACTTCACAAAGCTACTGCAACTACATTATCTTGTCTGATCTTTTTTTGCTGCCCTTTCTTCTTCACCAATTCTGTTTTTCCCTCTTCTGGCATCTTTTTGCTCCTCTGGTATCCTTATGCCAGTGTCCCACTGGGAAGACCAAGGGAAGCTGAGCAATGCATGTACGCAATTATTTAAAAAGTCCTGAAACTCCTTCCAAACTCCCATGAGGAATGGAAACTTGCATGCTATTCATCAAGCTGCCTTCTTGTAGCCCTTGTCTACATTCCCAAAACTTGTTAGTAGTTTTTGATCATCCATAAGTGGCTCAGCCCTGGCTTAGATAGGCAAATGGAAGCCCCTGTCCCCTGAAAATTAATGAAACCATCCTGCTTATTCATTCAACATCTCTGAATTTCAGTTAAATGTCTATGAGGCAACTGGCATCCCAGGTCTAAATATTTTACAAATGAAAATTGGTTTACCATTACATTAACCATTTAAAATTAGCAGGTTAGTTGGTCTATATTCCAGATAAGAAAGTGACTAACAGTTTAATCCATTAAGGGCAAATGTGACTGACCTCAAGAGACTTAACTTCCAAATAAATGTGCAGAGGACTGCATTGGAAGTGCTAAGTAATCCTGCAATGCAGAGACACGGGTGTCTCAACTTTATATTCGGTGCTAATCATTTTAATAAATAGCACTTCATACTAAGATAAGGATTAAATATTCCCTTTGGGGAATCATTCATTTTACCCTGACTGATAAATGCATTCTGAGCACCATCTCTCTGTGCTTTAAAAAGTTCTGCACACTATACTGAAAGATTCTTAGGGACAATTTATATAATAAAACTGAATGTAGTAATAGGGCGTTATTGTACTTTAAATGACACATATAAGCCCTTGGTGATTTCTCCTAGGCAGTGGTGGGATTCAAAAGGTTTTACCACAGGTTTGGTGGGGGTAGGTTGGTGGGCGCGCTATGCACACGCCAAATGTGCACTTTGTGCAGGCGCAGAGGCATTTGCGCAGGCGCAGAGGTGTTCCAACTCACCTCCTGCAAGCCTGCACTCTCCCAGTCGCTTCAGCAGCTGCCACGCAGCACTCTGCTGTGCTGAGCAAAGCAGCTGCGCTTCAAAAGCAGAGGATAAAGGTGAATATGGGAGCCTGACGAGGCGGGTGAGCCCAACAGCAGAGTGACAGAGAGAACCAGTTTCTGCTGCTCATCGCCACTACCACCACTGATCCTAGGCTTCATTAGAAGAAACAGTCTATCAGAATCTTTTTTTCTTCTCTAATTTGCACTTGTGAGATCAGTGGCACATCTAGCACATTTGACACATAGAATGGAACATTTTTAACACACACACCCCTTCATAATTGACAGGTAAAGTTGTTAAGGTGTTAGACTAGAAACCAGTAAACCATAAGTTTTAGACCTCTCAGGCACAAGCCTACCTGTGTGGTCTTAGGTTAGTCATTTCTCTCAGCCCTAAGACAAAGGAACTGTCTCAAGCCATTTCCATTCTGCCTATTATGGATTCTCTATTTCTAGAAGATTTTAAGAAGAGGCTCTTGAAAACAGTTTAATTGGTTTTCTTGCACACTGCAGGAGGTTGCATTATCTGAATCTTGTGATCTCTTCCAACTCCACAGTTCTGTGATTTTATGAATGATAAAGCTAATCAGAGTCACATGTTGAAATGGGTGGCTACAGAAATCAAATAATTTTTTTTAAAAAAGTTAACGCACATCCGACATATACAAGAATAACTATCCGATTAGCTTTTATTTGTACTGCCTTAGAAAAGTTGGTCATCTACTTACCATTACAACTATTCAAAGACCCATTTAAAACATCAGATCACTGTCTATTTTATGTAGGGTGTCATTTCTTAAGAAAAAGAACACAAACATAAGAGGCATAGAACTCAAAGCCTCAAACGCCTATGCGTCATTGGCTTATTTAGTACTTCATCTCAACTGAATGCATGCATTGACTCGATTGAAAAGCAAAGCTTTTATGATAACATAAGAATATGAATGATTTATCGATGTTTACTGTATAATGCACCCCCAACAATGCAAGCTGTAGTCTTCAGAAAATGAGCAGCTGAATGAGCCATCAAAGACAGAACAGAAAAATAAGAGGGAGGGAGAGAAGGAGGGAAGGGTAAAGGAGGGGGGAGAGATGTGATTTTAAAAGAGCTTAATTTTTTAGTTGTGTGATCCTGTGTGTGAATATAGAAAACTACTGCCAGGTAGAAAAGTCCTCCTTATCACTTAGCAGTGGTGATTCCTTGGAGAGAGAGAGACAGAGAGCTACCCTAATGTAGTGGGTGATCTGTATCAATTCTGAAAGCTAATGTGGTAAACTACTAAATGACTACTATGACAGGTTATCACTTAAAGCAGTGTTTCATAGCCACAGCAACTTGAAGATGTATGAACCTGACTTCTGGGAGGGCAAGTCCACACATCTTAAAATTGCAGAGGTTGAGAAACATTGGCCTGAAGGAAGAAGTTAAAACAATATAGGCAACAAGGGCCTTATGAATCTCCAGAACCTCTTTAAGGCCTCCCCCACCAATCATAGTCTCTGCAGAACTCCTCAGAATGGGTAGGCATGAAACATATTCAGTTTTTATACATTTCTGGAGTTGACTACATTTGAATAGACCAGCCTTTCTCAATTATTTTGCCCTGGTGGAACCCTTGAAATAATGTTCAGGTCAGAGGTGGCATTCAGCAGGTTCTGACCAGTTCTGGAGAACCGGTAGTGGAAAGTTTGAGTAGTTCGGAGAACCGGCAAATACTATCTCTGACTGGAGATTTTACAGTATCCTTCCCCTGCCACACCCACCAAGCCACACCCACAGAACCGGTAGTAAAAAGTGTTGAATCCCACCACTAGCTCAGGTCCCAGGCAGGGGTGGGATACGACAGGGTTAACTACCGGTATGGGATTTACGAGCTTCTCTGCATGCTGTGAGCCGCACGTCTGTAAATGTCCTCTCATCCGGGACATCAGCTCTTTGAACTATTACCATCAAGAAGGAGATTTAGGGTATTAAGAACAAGGACGACCAGATTTAAGAACAGTTTTTATCCAAGTGCAGTTTTGAGTTTGAATGCAGGGTCATAAGATTTTTGTGGAATTAAATGACTGAGAGTAATGGGGTATTTACATTTTTAAATTGCATAGAGATGATTGTATGGTTGGTTGTGTTTAGTTTAATTTTTTTTCTTTTTAGTGGTGTTTGTCCAGTTTTTACTTTGTGGAAGAGCACCTCATTTCGTTGCACCCGCTTGCGAGTGTAATGACAAATAAATTCTTATGTCTTATGTCTTATGTCTTAAATCGTCATCAGCATGCTGTGCAGCTTTTGAAACAGCCCTCTTTTCCTGCTTTTTTAACTGCAGCTGTGGCTTGTTCGGCAGCTGAAGTTGAAAAATCAGGAAATAAAGATCAGGTAAGAGCCCCGGTGGGCGGGTGGGCAAAAACATCAGCAGACATAGAACTGGTTCTATGTCTGCTGCTCTTCAGAGCTACCGGTTCTACAGAGGTAGACAGAACCAGTAGAAACCCACCCCTGGTCCCAGGGAACCTTGGCTAAAAACAACAAAATGTACAAAAATTCCACAATACAACTCATTTCTAACCTACACAGTCCACATTTTACAATGTTTACAAAAACAGCAAACATGAATTGCAATGCATAAACATTCCTACCCCTGTGAATGCTAGCATTAGGTGGCATGCAAAGTTTTCTTTCTCAGTCACAATCTCTCATACAACCTCAACTGAGAAAGGCTGGAATTGGAATATGGGGTTAATGTATTCAAAGGCCAAATATTATTGTTGAAATAAAAAAGCATCAGCATCCAAAAAATATGAATACTTATGGCTGTTAAGCAGGCTAATTGAGGTGAAAAGAGAAATCTAAACTAAGATGGAAGAAGGGAAAAGGGATCATCTAAGAGATATAGCCAATGGAGAATCCATATTTGTTCTCCAGTCACTGTCTGATCATGACATTTTGGTGATCGAACTTCTTTCCATGTAGAAGACTTAGGAAGTCTAACTAAGAATATAAAATGGCTTTAACAAGGATTACCTTCTGGGCCCAAATTTAACCACACAGTTTGGGCAGCACCACTATCACCTCCTGATGTTTTTGGATATAACTCCAATCTTCTAGTTAAACAGGAGAGACATGTATTATGTTGTGTATTTTTTTTATTGTTCCACAGCTACAAGCAACACAGCTACAATAATCTCAATGATCAAAGGGCTAATCATGTTGTTGTTCTTAAACACAACCCAAGCTTGGATCTGCACGCTCTGTCCTTGCAAGGCTCTTCATTCCTGGGGTTGGGCAGCAAACTGCAATTTGATGGAACTCAAGGAGATGCCCCACCTGAACTCGAGCATCAAAATTCTTCATCTGCAAAACAACAATTTGACTACTGTTCCTCTTGGTGCTCTGGATAGCTTGACCAACTTGGAGGAAGTTAATTTTTCCAACAACCCTTGGCACTGTAACTGCTCTATTTTATATCTTAAGGAGTGGCTGACAGACTTCAATAAAAGTTCTCTTGCAAAGGCTATCTGTGCAACTCCAGCTTCTCTAAATATGAAAGCCTTGAGCCAGCTGAAAGGGAATGAACTGGAGGGATGTAGGAAACCCCTGCCAATCAGTTGCCATGATTTTTTTTTGAGGGACTTTGGTCTGATTATTTTGGCAATCATTGTCTTAATTTTAGCAGCATGTGTTTTGCAACGTTCAAAACAGTTAGTTTTCCAAGCCAGCAGAAAGCAGCATTCTTCTGAAGTTCCATTGCTATGGTTCCATGACCAGGAAAATCAGAAGTCCAAATGAAATGCTGCAATTGGCAATAAGATGCTGTAAGAATAAAACCACCCATCTATTACTGTATTTTTGTGAACTGAAAATATCTATAGTCACAACTAAAGGCTTCTTTTGGTGAAGATATCACACTTTTTCACTCATTTCCATGTGTGAATGTCAATAATCCCTATCATTGATATTAAGCCAATAATTCTTGCAGATATATAAGTTGTTTTGCTATGTAATTGTACTATACTTGTTAATGCTCCAATATGCATAATTGAAATGTGTTTCCATGCATCATAGGTTCTGTTGCTATGGCACTCAGTCACTCAGCCGTATAATCATTTACAAAGAGAATAAATAATCCTGATGTTATGCAAATTTTGTTCAGTGTGGTGGTAAAGTTTATTCTTTCATATAAAAATGGAGTTAGTCACATATTCACTGAATACCAGGACAGAGAATCTAGAGCTTTCATCTCTTTTCATCAAAAAATAATTTGAATTAGAAAGTTATATTCTATAAAGTATGGTTTTGTTAGTAAAATATTTTATGGTCAGAATATTTAGGATTGGAAAATAGTTTATTTTTGTGGCATTGAAATCCCTATCCATTTAGAAATTGGAAGTTACCAATCCATTTACTGAAGGGACTATTATTATTATTATTATTATTATTATTATTATTATTATTATTATTATATGGGCACTTAATTATTCAGCAATTTGATGAGTGAGTTTGGTGTCTGTGTCACAAATACATCCATATTTCCTTCACAGGGTTCAACTTGGGCTTTTTGCCAAGCTCTGCTTTAGGTGATTCTTTTAATGTGAAATTTCACTACTATATTCTAGATATCTACAGTATATGGGGGGAACAATGGTTTCCATTTATGATCTTTTTGTATTTTCCCATTATTTATTTCCCAATATCTATTTATTATTTATCATCTTGCTTGCTCTAAGAAGAATTAAGGGAGATAAAATGGACAAATTGCACAGTTTTCGTATTGCTAATGAATGTCGAGAGCTATCTAGCATATGGAAGTATCAAGGACTTCAATTTGTTTCAAACAACTTTGGTCTTGATTGTATAGGCTGAGTAGTCCTAGTCTATAACTGGTGTGATAATCATTTCAGAATAATGCACTGTCATGGCTTTTATTATTTAATAAGAACTATATCACTGAAAATTGTGTTGGATTTATTCATTTAAAATTTAAATGAAGCAAGTTGGTAGTTCACATTCCACTAATTCTAGTACAGAAAATTTCAAATTTTCAGGGTTTTTTTAATTCCACAAATATACTTCAATAAATTATTGATGAGTTGTCAGTTATGCTCAGAAGACACCTGTCCTCATGATCTATATTCTCATATGGATGATATCATGTCTGAATTTAAGGATGTTTCATCAAAAATCCATTTTTATGCTAGAGAAGTCATGCCAGAAATAAATGAATTTGCATGAAATTACAATTATCTAACTAGCATTGGATCAAAATTTCATTATTGTAACATATTGCAAATATGTAATTTAAGTTAAATTTAAATGAAACTGCCCTAAGCATGGCAAACCCCAGATTTATCAAGGATTATCATTATCTCCTTAAGCACTTTTACAAATGATAAAATGTTTTACTTAATTTATTTCATCAACCTGGACTTAATACTGCCATTTTTCTCATGGATTATATGAGATATAAATCATGCAGTATATCAGTCCTTTCCAGCATGACTCTCTACTGGTAAGAGGAACTACAATTGCCAGAATTCCCAAGCAAACATATCACTGTGTAAATGTTAGCTGTTTGCTCAGGGACTTATAGTCCCAACATATTTATAGAATCCCCAGTGGGGAAAGTTTATTATCCTCCTATATTACAGAAAGGGTCTGGTTTTGCAAATGTCAGAGATCTGCCCTCTCAGCAGCCATTGCAAGCCTAACTAATGATAAAGAATGGTAATACTGTACCTGACTCTGCAACAAACCATAATTTTATTAAACTTGTATGTTAGCTGATTCCTAACAACCCTAAGTAGCTCACAAAAGACAAAGAAATTACAATCAAATCAATAAAACTTAAAGATAAAACAAGAAAAGCAAAACAAAGTGAAGGGTCTTACTCTTTCTTGCCATAGGCCGGGGTAAAAAGCCAGGTGTTGATGTTCTTCTAAACCAGTGGCCCCAACCTTTTCTGAACCAGGGACCGGTTTCATGATTATTTATTCTTCCATGGACCGGTACCTGAGTAACGCAAGACTCCACCGCCATCGGGACGGCTCTTCGTTTGAAGCCGCCCCCCCCCCTTCGATGAAACTAAGGCGCGAGCACCCAAACGTTGCTTTCCAACAGAAAACCCGGAAGCACTTTCCAACCGAAAACCTGGAAGCAACCGAAAACCCGGAAGCGCCGTCGAAACAAGATGGCAGCACCCAAGCTTTGCGGCCCGGTAAAAAATGATCCATGGACCAGTACCGGTCCGGGGACCCCCGTTCTAAACAACAACAGAAGAGTGGAGGTCTATCCAGGTCTCTGAGAGAACCTTGTCTCAAAGGGCAGGTGCTGCCTACAGAGAAGGCACCCTTCAGGAATCCCAATACTTTAATCAAAGGAACACAGTGCATGCCAACCCTGCCAGATCCAATTGGCTGCAGCAGATACAGAGGCAGGGGGTCCCTCAAGTAACCAAAGTCTATGCCATGTAGAACTTTACAGGTAATCAACATCTTGAATCACACCAGAAAGCAAACCAGCAACCAGTGTAGCTCATGAAACAAAGGTGCTACATGGTCATATGGAACCATGCCCATGACTTGTGTGAAACTTCTGGGTGATCCTCAATGGCAGCTCCATGTAAATAGTGTTGCAGTAGACAAGATGCAGTACCACTAGGATATAAGTGGCTGTCTGAAGGGCTTCCTGACCTAGGAAAGGGTACAGTTGGCATACCAGATAAGAACTAAGCGAATTAGTCAAGGAAGTCTTAATCCAGAAATTCACAATGAAGGGGGAACTATTGCCCTTGAACTCTTGTGCTCCGCAGCTGTGTTTCAAGCCAGTATTAGGTCACTTATATTAATCAATAGATAACATGGGAAGAACAAATAGATAGTCAACAATTTTAGTTTTTGGATCTTTTTTTTTAAAGGGGGTCAACATTGTCCAAATTCATAAAAAGAAATGAAAAAGAGTAGAGAAATTAGTAACTGGCTGTTCCACAAAGAAAACTGGCCTGGATTGGGGGATTTTCCCTATTGGAAACCCCGGGGTTGGACCCCTAAGTCTTCAAAACCACAAGCAATCTCTTCTGCTTTATAGAACAGTGTTCTTTGCTGAAAATATTATAATTTGCTATTTTATGATAACTGTCTGAAAAACCCCTAAGCAATGAAAACAAATCCTTCACTAATGATGTGCAAAGAAATGTAACTGCATTGTAAGCTTTGCATCATTTACAAATTAATGAGTTGCAGCTCCATTATGTGTGTGGTGTTTAAATTCCATCATTTTGCTGTTTAACTATATGATAATTGGTTTTTGTGCAAAGGTAAGCTTGGTCATTATATTTCATGTAAAATTAACACAAAAATATTTTCTGCTCTAGAAAGTTCATTAGGAATATGACAATTTCATGTAGCAGGCAAAATGGAAAGACATGCGTCCTACCATTCTATGCTTTAAGTTGGAGAAATGTCTATAAAACATCTGAAATAAAGTCTTATTCATTGAATTCATATATCAATGTAGACATGTACCAATGTTTACTTTCCATATTCTAAAAGAGCTTCTTTATTTTAAAGATATTTTCAGAAATCAGAACTGAAGTTAGTTATAGCAGAGAATATAAAAATGTTGCTCCGGGAAACATAAACTTTAGAGGTTTTGGAGAATTGTTGAAGGAGTGCAGCTTTTCTAATAAGCAGAGCTCTCCTTATCAGAAGGAACCAGGGTGTTGTTATCAGGGGAATTCTTCCAGAGACAGAGTGAGTTAAGCTGCAATGGCAAAGAGGGAGTATCACAAGCTTATCTTCCCCGGCCATTTCTTTCATAAGCTTCGGGACACTTCCTACATAGCCAATCAAATGGATTTCCATAGGGCGTGCTGTTGATTACAGTTCTCATTGTAACAACCCACAGAGAGATGGAATAATTATGCCACCCACCAAAAATGGATCATGTGCAAAATGTTTCCCGGAGAACTTTGGAAAGGTGACGTGGTCTGTGAATCAGCTCTATCTTTTCTGTATTGAAAAATGCACAGGGTTGAAAGCTGAGATATTGAAAATCAATGTAAATATTTACAAACAAAATTAAGAGAATACAAATGTGTGCAGAAGACGTTCTCATGTATCTTTGGCTTGAGGTAAGTCCTTTTTCTGGTATCAAAAGTGTTTATTATGTCTTTTTATATTTCTAAAAGAGAAAAAAAGCAAGAAACTGCAAAAAAAGCCCCCAATGATAATAATCAGCCAGATGTCTAGACTGGATTTGGCATTTTTATCCGTCTATCAAATATTTCCCAAGGACATGGTATAAGCAGATATCACTTGATAGAGTTAAAAGAATCATTGCAGAATGTAAGCTATTCCAATGTAAGCTGCCTTTTGCAATTGACTAATGGTGATTTTGTCAATGCCAATGGTGTTCAAGTGATGCTCCAGCTATTTTGGGCCCAAGGTGCCTATTACTATTGGTAGTATATTTACTTTCTTTTGTCATAGTCATTCCATTCTATTTGTAAGTCTCTGTATTTTGGAATTTTCTCCAGTTCTTTCTCTTCTCTTCTGCTGTCTCTAGGCACTGCAACATTAATTATTGTTATTTTCCCAAACTATTCCATTTTATACTGTAGGGTTTCTAAATCTTTTAAATGGTTTCTATTTTACTGCTAACTTAATAAAATAAGTGGTCTTCCATCATAAGATAGCAGAATCTATCATGAACATTTCCATTGTTCAGATTATTGCTTATTATCCATATGTGAAAGCAAGATAGGGAGCACCTAAGGATTTGTAGAAATGGAACCCCCAATCCCTAAAATAAAACCACAGAGGAGAGGAACCCCAAAAGCATACTTGGGGCTACAGAACATTAAGTGAAAACTATATGGAGAAACAGAAAAGCAGATTCACATGTGGAACAACTGAATTTGGAAGGTCCTCACTTAAATACAGAGGACCTACTTTTTAAAATGAAAATAGATTTTTAAAAATAAACATTTTATATTTTCAGGACATATATGAATGATATAAAAGAGTAATTTTACATGAATGGCTTTAATTGCTTTAAATACTTGCTTTTACCCTATGATGCATAATTA